CACCAGGTATGTGCCTGCTGGGCCAGGCAGTAAAGAGCCTCCACCTGGGGTCCAACAGACCTGATATTCAATCCTGACTCTCCCTCTTACTAGCCATGTGATCTGGGCAAGCTGCTGAACCTCTCTGAGCTTCAGCGTCCTCACCTCCCACAGGCTTATTTCCTAGACTTCCGGTGAGGATTAAATGAAATAGAGCCTGTCAAGTGCCTGGCACATATCGGTACCCAGGTGAGAGCAACAACACCCATCCATTCTTAGTTCATTTCGTAAACATTTCAAGATCTTTCAAAAACCTGAAAGCCCCTTGCCCACCCTCATCCCACCCAGAGCAGGACACTATCAGCTCTTCTCTGGACCGCTGCAGCTGCCTCCAGCCTCAGCTCTTTATGACACTCTTACTCTATTTTAATCCCCGCTCCCCACAATAGTGAGAGTGATCTTTCTAATCTGAAATATGTGATTATATCACTCACTCAACACCCTTCAGTAGTTTCTAACTGTCTTCAGGATAGATTATACATTCTTTGTCACAGCCTATAAGATGCTGCAAACTTGTTCTTAGCACATGCTGTTCCCCCTGCCTGAAATAGTCTGCCCTGCCTCCCTCTCTCCTCCACTTCTGGTGGCTGCCCTCTTCACCTTGCCATCCTTTCATCAGGGTTTAGTTTACACATCACCTCCTCCTGGAAGTTCCCCGTGATTTCCTGTCTCCAGATGAATTTAGGCAACACAGCTGCACCCTCCTACAGCACCCCACGCATTCCCAAGCAGCTCACTTGTCAATCTAGATAGCATTTGCTTGTTTAATTGTCCAGGTTCCTGCCCTAAACTGTAAAAACTGTAAACCACATGAGATCAGAAGTCTTTTCATGATCTTCACTGTGTCTTGTGACAATAAGAAAATGGTGGACAGTCACTTACTATTGGTTTATAGAATGGATGGAAGACGGATGGATGAATGGATGGATAAATGGAAAAATGACACCTTCCCTGTAAAGTCTTCCTGGAATCCTTTGAGCAGGGAGTTTTTCCATCTGTGCTTCATGGTGCCCACTACAAACCTCTACCCAAGACTTAGTTTCCTCAGCGATATAATGGGAAAATAAGAGTACCTACCTCATGGGGTTATTCATATTAAATGGCATAAGCCATGTAATAGTTTTGAGTCCATGCTAATAACAGGTTGTTAAATTTAAATGAGATACTCCACATAACATGCTTTAGAACAAGATCTCACACTTAGTAAGTGCTAAAAAAAAAAAAAATTAGCTGCAATAGTTATCATAGCATTTATCATTTCTTCCTTCCTGTGATCCCTGCCAAAGAGCGAGCTCCTTGCGGGTACCGCTCACTTCTGCCTTGACTTTGGACACACCACCTCTACCACCTGGCCGTGCCTCGCTAGATGTTTTCAGTAAATGTTTACTGAGTGAACAAATGAGTGCAGAGTTGCCAGCTGGTGACTCGGAGCACAGCACCCCTCTCACCACTCCCAAGCCCAGGGGCACACGGACACAATCGCAGTCTCTGATACATTCACACCCACGCACATTCCTGCAAAGAACCCCAACAGACCACAGAACAGCGCCCAGCTTCCTAACGTCAGTCATACGTAAGGGCGGAACTTACCCACTGTCTTGCACCCTCCACACCACCCGAATGACCCACACCCGGTCATTTAGGAGCAATGGGACTGGAGGAGTGAGCGGTTCCCACTGTCCAGAGGAAAAGCCAAGCCAGACCTTCAGCCCCCGCACCAGTGCATCCTAGCCTCAGGTAGCGCTGCCCTTCCTCACCCCGTGGCTCACCTCTTTCCCTTTCTGAAAACCTGGATCCCTGATCTTGGAGGCGGTTGAGGTAGAGGCTGGGGAGCCAGAATTCCAGGGTTCCTTCCTCGCTCATCTAGCCCTGTCTCTGGACCGTGAGGGATAGGCCATCGTCCGCTTTTGCTAGTGCCAACCAAGCACAGCAGTCTGTGGGAAGAAGGCAGGACCAGGAGACCCAAGGCCTGAGGTGATGGAGAGGCTTCTTAGCCTTGAGGTGAAATAATGTTCTTAGCCACCATTCACTGGGTACATCACAAGGGTCAGATAATGAGCCCAAAGCTTTCCATTCGTTATATCTCATTCAATCCTCACAACCCTTTTCCCGCGGGGAGAACGCTCGAGGCGCTGCAGGTTGACCCCTCAGCCTAAAACCAGCAGCTGATATTGGCACGCGGGTCTGCGATTCCAGAATCCTCAACCGCCAGGCTTAGGGAATTTGGGAGGTGGGTTGATAGGCTGAGAGTGTTGGGGGTCCTCAGGTATTAAGCTGGAGAGAATCCTCCCACAAGGCAGCACCCGCCCCCATCAGCTAGACCCTCGTCTCCCTCGGGAAGAGACGCCCGGCGCCGCGGCGGGGGCGCACCGTCTTCGGTACCTGGGTGGGGCCGAGGCAGGGCCTGGAGAGCCCGGGAGACGCGGGCCGGTGGCCCAGGCTCACAGGCCAAGATGGCTGTTAATTAAAGTGCTGGCACCAGCTCCTCTCTGCAAAGTTTGAAGCCGTTATTTTCCACTCCAGCGAAGCGGGGAGAATCCGGCTGGGCTGACAGAGACGCCACACCGCGCCAGGGGAGCAGGCGTCCTCTGCGGGCGGGGGGCGGGCCGCCTTGGACGCCCGGGCGGGCGCGGGCGGTGGGTGCTCCCGCGCCCCCTCGGCCTCGGGCGGCCCGCCGCAGTTTCTCAGGCGGGCTCTGGAGGGCTTCGCGGGGCAGGGGGTGGCGGACGGGCCCCAGCGGCGCAACGGAGGAGGGACCCGTTTGCGTGCGAACCGAGAGGGTGCGGGTATACAAATCATACGCGAATGACCGCGCACCTGTCCCTCGGGTCACCAGCGCTGTCGCTCTCCGGCGACTCACGCTGGGGGAGACCGCGGTGGGGGACAGGAGGCCCCGCTGACAGCCGAGAAAGGAGCCTACTATTCCTGAGCCTGGGGGGCGCTAGCTGCCTGGAGCGCCCCGCCCCCTGAGCCTGACATCTTCCTCCCTTTGAACGCGCGTGGAGACTGGAAGAGCACAGAGCGAGGCTGAGGGTTTGAGTCCCGACTCTACCCCTTAGTAGTTGTGTGACTTTGGGCACTCTCTTAATTTGCCAGAGCTTCTGTAAAATGAGAATAATGATGGATGTTACCTCTATGGATTGGTGTGAAGATCACGTGTGACCCCATACGTACAGCGCTCGACACAGGGCCTGGCACACACATCCGAAGGCCTGCAGAAGTGCTATCTGCCGAATTGTTCTAGCTCCCTCCTCGGCCGTGGGTGTCACTATAACCCCGGGACCAGCCATCAGAGGCTGGGAGGTCCTCTCTCACAGCCCCCCACTCGGTGTCCTGCTGTCCCTGACACCCACCCAGCTCTGGGCGAGGTTCAGCAATCTCAGCCTTGAGTAGTGGGGGCCAGGGCATCATAAGGACCCGGCGTCAGGTCAGCAGGGGTAGAGTGTGAACAGGGAGGGGACCACTCAGGAGAGAAGAAAGAGGCAGGAGGGTCATCTCCTAGCAGTGGCCAGAGACCTCCAGAAAGGCAGAGCCCCCCCTGGTGGGCTGCAGAAAGGAGGGTGAAGGAGGAGCAGTGAAGCAGCGCGAGCTCGGCCTCCAATAATGTGACAAATATTTTTATGGAAGCAGACACATTTCAGTTTATGCAACCTAAACACTTTACTGCACTTGAGGAAGAGGACTGTCTCATGCAACCTGACGGAGAGAAGATTAGGGGGCTGCTGAGACGGCTGGGACGGAGAGGAGGGGCCGCGGGGCTGGGTGTGCTCAGCCTGTCCTCCCAGATGCCGGTCACACTTGTACAGGTCAGAATGAAGAAATAAGGTGGCGGTGCCCACTTTCTTAGGGCCCCCGGTTCTCCCTGTCCGAAAAAGGTAAGGGAAATAATGATCAGAGGAAAATGGAGGCGCCCCCATCCCCCAGGATAAAGCAGCCTAGTCTGGCCTGGAGCTCGGTGAGGAAGGGTCGGAGGAGGGGAGGAGGGGGCAGAAGATTCCGCCCCTCTCTGGGGGGAGGCGTGTCCGGGAACTGCCAGGAGCCAGAAAAGAGGAAGCGGCGGCCGCTGTCGGTGCTCGGGAGCCCGCCGGTCACCCCGACAGACAAGCAATCTCCGCTGGTTCTCCCGGGTGGCGGTCTTCGAGTCCTGAGCGCGGGATGGCCCCCTCCCCCCTTCTTTTGCCTCCTCCTCTACTGCCTCCTCCTGACCCTCTTTCTCGTCCCTTCTGCTCCCCGCCCGTCCTCCCTTCAATCTCTTTCTCTGTGCCCCCCTCGCCTCCGCCCCCTGCAGACCGTGGCCCCCTCGCTTCTGTCTCCCTTGGTTTTCCTTGCAACCGACCCTTGAGGCCTCTCCTCTCCCGGTCTCCCTCCGCGCTAACTCTCCCGGGGGCCCTCTCCTCCTCTCCCCGTCCCTGTAGGGGCCTCTTCTCAGACTGAAGCCCCCTTCTCATCTCGCTCCCACACTCTCTTTTCCTCTCCAGGCTCCAGTCCTCCCCGCCGCGGTACCGCCCCTCTGCCCCGCCCCTCTATGTGGGCGGAGCCCTACCTCCAGCGGCCCAATTAGGCGCCGGTCCCGCCTTCAGCCCCACCCATCGCGGGCGCTGAGTCGAGCGAAGCGGGTGGAGCGGGGCGGGGCGGGGCGGAGGGGGCGGTGGCCCCCACGCTCGGAGGCGGGAGGAGCTAGGCGCGAGGCTGCGGCTGCCGCGCTCAGTCCGGCCGCGCAGCGGGAGGGAGGCGCGAGGCAGGACCCGGCGGCTGGGCTCGGCAGCGCATCCAGCGCAGCGCGGCGCCCCGGGTCCGGCCCCATGCCCGCAGCCCCGCCGGACCGCCCTTGAGCGCGGGCTCCCCGCCCGGGCCTCCCGCCCGCCGGCACCATTGCCCCGACGGCGCGGCCGGGTGGCCCGGCGCTCCCCAGGCTCCGCGCCGGCCGGAAGACTCTGCTGGCTGCCGCCGCGGGCGTGGTGATGCTGCTGGTGCTGGTGGTGCTCATTCCCGTGCTGGTGAGCTCAGGAGGACCAGACGGCCACTATGAGATGCTGGGCACCTGCCGCATGGTGTGCGACCCCTACCCCGCGCGGGGCCCCGGCGCCGGCGTGCGGTCCGACGGGGGCGACGCCCTGAGCGAGCAGAGCGGCGCGCCCCCGCCCTCCACGCTGGTGCAGGGCCCCCAGGGGAAGCCGGGCCGCACAGGCAAGCCTGGACCCCCCGGACCCCCCGGGGACCCGGGTCCTCCAGGCCCTGTAGGGCCGCCCGGGGAAAAGGGTGAACCGGGCAAGACCGGTCTTCCGGGGTTGCCGGGCGCTGGGGGCAGTGGCGCCATCAGCACCGCCACCTACACCACGGTGCCGCGTGTGGCCTTCTACGCCGGCCTCAAGAACCCTCACGAGGGTTACGAGGTGCTCAAGTTCGACGACGTGGTCACCAACCTAGGCAACAACTACGACGCGACCAGCGGCAAGTTTACGTGCAACATTCCCGGCACCTACTTTTTCACCTACCACGTCCTCATGCGCGGCGGCGACGGCACCAGTATGTGGGCTGACCTCTGCAAGAACGGCCAGGTGGGCCCAGCGGGGGCACGGGGTTGGCCTTGGGGCAGGGAACGCGAGGAGCCTGAGGCATATGGGTACCAGGTCGGAGTCGGCGGGCGCAAGTGAAAACACTACAGCAGCCTGGCTTAAGGCATGGCATGCGAGGACGGTCGGGGCTGGCTGGTACCCCTAACTCCTCAGTTCCTGCGCGCCGATTCCAGGGCAGACGCAGCTGGGCACCCGCGGCACGGAAATGCGGGAGATAAATCGAGCTAGTGAGAGCTCAGGACTCCCAGGAGCGCGGACTGGCCCTTGGGAAAAGCACCTGAGAGCTGGGAGTCTGGTTGACACCAGCGGGAGATTAGGGGAGGGCAAGACGGGAGAAGGCAGCCGCTGCGCCTGTGGGCTCCCAGGTGGACGGCTATGCTCGCGAGTCGAGAAGGGGAGCTGTAGATGTTTTGGGCACTAAGGCAAAGGGAGCCGAGTGCGCAAAGCCTTCGCTGCAATACATCCCCCGCCCTTGGGAAGGGGCGACTGGGCCGATCTGACTCCCTTTTCAAAGCCCGGCGCTGCCCGGCCCCTTGGCACTGTGTAAGAGCCACTGGAGCAAGAAGGTGGCCTGGGGGCAGGGGAAAGTTTCTCCTCCTGGGGCTGGGCAAACTCCCTCTCCTCTTGGTTTCCCAGCTGCAACTCCTGACTCCTGGAGAGTAGAGGAATGCTCTTAGTTCCCTGTCCCCATCCCAGGAGCTGGAAGGTGTGGAGCATGCCGGGGCTTTGCTACAAGGACCCTTTGCTGCAGGGCATGGTGCTCTTCTTGCAACTGCTACCTCAGGACCAGTCTCGACCTAACCCTGGCCCAGGGCAACAGTTTGCCCAGCTCCCTTCCCTTTTTATAACCCTTCCCTTCCCAGTGCTTCCAGATTGCGGTGGCCTGGGGGCTCTGGGGTGGTCGCTGGGCCAAGAATATATGGGGAGGAAGGGGACCTGCTCAGGTCAGAACGAAGGCTAGGCTAGTGGGAGTTTGGGAGGAATCTCCTGCGACTGAGGCCCAAGACTCTGTTGGAACCCTTCCCACTACAGCGTTGCCCTGAGATAGACCCTGGCTTGGGGGTGGGAGTCAGCAAAAAGCTGGCCCACCAAGTACTTGTAAGTAGTGCGTTCCCCCCGCCCCCGCCCCCGCCACTTCTCTCCCCACTGCCTGCTTCATTCACTGGTTTCCGCCTCTCCCTTGCCTCTTTCTTCGATCTCTCTGTCTCTTGCGCCTGTCTCTCTTGTGTCTACCAGTCCTATCCATCTCTCCCTGGGTTTTTGGCCTTGGTCTCCTGGGTTTAACTCCACCCCCTTCTGTTCTTTGGGTGTCTCTCTCCCACTGTGTCTGTCAAGCTCCCTGTATCTCTCCTCTTTGTCCTTGGTTCCTGACCGAAAGGGAGGCCCCAGTATCCTGTGAGGGCTCATCCTGCAGACAGCTCCACGATTCCCCTTATTAATCACAAATAAGGGACGCAGCAATGTCACCTTCATCAATGGAATTTCTTCCTTTCCCAAAGAAAGTTTGGGCTGGCACCCAGCTGAGATTTCAGAGGGCTGGGGGCTTGGCTTGTCTGGAGGGGGAAGTGGTCACCAGACCACCAGCGAGCTCTAGACCCTGCATCACCTCCGAAGGTTGCAGCAGGGCCACCCAGATGAGGCAAGAGGAGGCCCCAAACACGGTGTGTGCTTGGGGCAGGGGCATTTGTGGAAATCCCTGGGAGGTGAAACCCATTCAGAAGCCTCCTCTTTCCCTTCCGGCAGGGGCAGGGCATTGGCCGGAGCCTGGCAAGGAGGTGGGACCACACAGGCTAGTAGAAGAGAGGAGGTGGCTTTAACTAGGGCTTTCAAACACCCAGCATTTTAACAGTCACTCAGACCATTACCTTTCCTCCTCCAAAAAAACAAGACAAATAGTGGGGCGGATATCCCCCTCTCCCCCATCCTTGGTGACCTCTCCTTCCAGAGACTCATTTAATTTCACTACTCATTCCACCTTTTTGTTGTGAGCCCCTACTAGGAGGCAGGCTTGAGGCTTGGTTCCAGGGGTTCAATCTGTTTGCCCTCCAGGACCCCGTGGTCTGGGCAGGGGAGACAGAAATCACTGCACAGCAACATACCCCAGCGCTTCCTGCGTTAGAGGAGGGCTGGGAGCCCGGCTGGCAGCTCCTGTCCCCAAACACATTGGCTGGAGGGAGTGATACAGTGGAACCTGCCCCGGCTCAAACCAATCTGGTTGGGGAAGAGGATGGTGAACCTGGGTCCCCAAGTCGAAGAGACACGGCTAGAGAGAAAATAAAAAGGTCAGGTGTAGGGAACGAGGGGGTCAGGGGAAAGAGGACATTCAAGTGAGCAGAGGAAAAAAATGACAGGGCTGGGCAACGCGTGGAAACAGAAGAGGGGACCTTGCACCTCCCACGCCTTCAAGACGAGGGGCGGCCGTCCGCTCTGTGCTTTTCTCCCTGGCTTTCTTCCTGCAGAGAGTCCTCTAGAATTCCTTCAGGAAGGCAGAGCTGCACCTGTGCCCTGGCCCTTCCTTGGACAAGATGGAGAGGAGGGAAGTCACCGCCTTCCTGCCTGGTGCTGAGTGAGGCCCGTGTCTGTCCTTGTCTGAGTCCCATGGGCCCCTCTCCCCAGGCATAGCTTTGAGTCACTACTGCACAGCCTGATGGGACCAAGCCCTAGATACTGGGACACGGGGACCCAAGGAGCCTGAGGAAGGGGCTCTAGGATGGGGCTGGCACCTGGGTGAGGCGAGCTCCCTGCAGCTGCCTCTCGGATACAAGATGAGTCAAGGAGAACCTGAAATTGATCATTTGGGCTGGAGGAGAGGGAGCTGTGTGGGGTCAGGCCGGAGCCTACAGGAAGGCGAGTATTACAAATGGTCAGGGGCTTAGATACGAGTCTGAGCGAGGTGGGAGGTGGGGGGTACACGAGTTGAGGGCTGTGCTATAAAGGCCTGCCTGGAGGTCAGCATTTCACCGAATAGTGGCGGCAGCTCTCCTCTCTGGCCTCTGGTGCCTTTCAGATAGCACAGAGCGCAGCCCCTGGCACGGTAGGGACCCCGTCAATATGTGTCCCCTGCAAGGCTAGCGGCCCATGGGAGGCACACCTGAACATCCAAGACCCCAGCATTGACTTGGGTACAAAGACACATTTCCAGGGTTCTCCCCCACCCCTTCCAGGCCCCTGGTCAGACCACTGCCTCCGTTTCCCTCCCTGGTAGCCCTTGAAGAGGTGATTGTACAGCACCCCCTCCTGACAAGTCCCAGACTCGCTTTCCTGCTTCCATAGCAACCTCAATTCCCCAAACTTTCCCTTGGTCCTCAGGAGGAGCTGGTGCCCCAACTGTTTGCGGTCTTGGGCAGGAAATCAGAACCCCGGGGTTCCGTTCTTGGATCCCTCGCCATCTAAGCACAGAAGGGCATAAATTCTCCCTGCCTCCATGGATAATTAGGATAATCACAGCAACAATCATGGTGATGAATAAATAATAAACATAAGCATAACAGTTCTGATGCCTGTCACATCACCAGGAGATTCCTGATGACAGATGACTGTATTCTAATGGATTTTGCTATTAACAAGCACACTGTTTTAATGAGTTAAGGCTAAATTAATCTGGGTAATAAAAATAATTGTTATTAGTAGTAATTTATTAGCAAAGATAATGAAATGCATGCGTAATAATAAATACTATGAGGATTAGGGCCCAGGGAACAATATGGAAGTTGACTGCTTGCTTTGAGCTCTTTCCTAGTAGCTCAAAGCCCCAAGAAGATTAAAAAATTTTTTTTTGTTCGCCATCAAAAGGCGTTTATAAAGGTGGCAGTGGTGAGGCAGGATCTTCTCCATCCATTTTCTAAACAGAGGAACTGCACATCTTGACAAACGAGGTCTCCCCCTCATTTGATATCCCCCCGCCTTCACATGGCCTATCAGTTTTCCCAGCTAAGTGCCCCCAAACAGTGACTCCCCAGGTCAGGGAAGAAGAGGCGGAGGGGTGGGAAGATGGCGGGAAGGATCTGGGCTGTAAACGGCAGTCTGCACGCGAACATGTTGGGTCCTCCTGTTGCAGCGCTGCCGCTGAGTCAGCAGCTTTGGCACAGCTGCCCTGCGGTCCTGCCTCCAGCCCAGAAGGACGGGCCCCTCCCCTAATTTGGATTGGTACAGCTCAGACTGTCAGCCCTTGCGGGGGCTGTTCCAAGAAAGGGGCGGATGGAGTGGGCTGTTGAGGAGCCTGACCGAGTGAACCCCACTCAGTGCAGCCTCCCCCCAACACAAGCCAGCACCTTGGAGATGGCTCCCCTCTTCCCACGGACCGCCCGGGATATCCTGAAGATGCCCCAGGTCCTGTGGTTCAGGCCTCGCTGCTGCCTCAGCTGTGGAAGAAGAATGCAGGAGGGAATTTGTCCACTGCCACCCTCCATATCTTTTGATTATGGTCAGAGCCTGCAAAAGTGAGGGTGGCAAGCTTCAAACCTTAACGCTGGTCTCCCTTGCCCCCTTGCCTTTCCTATCCCTCCCCTCCTCCATCAAAACAAGGACCAGCAAGGATATCCGACCAGACTGAGCATCACAGAGGGATTAAGGAGTCCCTTCTTCCCACCCATTTCTTTCTGCCACTGTTGGCTGAGACAGGAGTCAGAAATCCCCTTTGCATGGGGAAGTAGTCACAGGTATAGCTACAGCTCCCTGGTTGTGAACATCAGGCCCAATCTGAGCCTTGGGCGGGCGAATAATTACCAGGCCTTCCATCTCGCTGCTCCGGTGTGACAGGCTCCCGAATGAACTTCAGACAAGGAGTCCAAAAAGCAGGTCCAAGGTGGTTACCCGCAGCATGGCATGGGTGCAGCCCCTGACGTATGGGGCCAGGGTGTGCCCTGTGCCCCTCCTCTGGCAGGAGAACAGGTGGATGTGGCAGGAACGTGAGGCGTTGCTCTCACAATTGAAGCAGAGAGGAAGGAATGGTGAGCAAGCAGGGTCCTCCATCCTCGGGGACCCAGAGAATCACTCTGTGCAAGGAGAGGGTTCCAGGTCGGGCCATCCTGGGGGCACTGCTGAGGTTCTCAGCGGGCCAGATGGTAAGGTCTAGAGACATAAGGACGCAGCCTCCGCCTTGACTCCCAATTCAGACCCAGATTACACGCGCCCCTGAAGTCCAGGCGCCTCTGTAATCCCCTAACACACATGTTATCATCGGAAAAGGCGGTAGGGATGACGGGAGAGAAGCCGGCTGAGGGCCCCATTCAGCTGGAGGTGGGGCTTTTAGGGCCTCCAGATCTTCCGCGGTTGCTGCCTTACCTCTGACAGTTGCCCTCCCTCTGTGACCCCACTTCCCTCCCTCTTCCCCCCACCCCGCACACACCCCTGCCCCCTACGCCCCACCCCCTTCAGGTGCGGGCCAGCGCCATCGCGCAGGACGCGGACCAGAACTACGACTACGCCAGCAACAGCGTGATCCTGCACCTGGACGCGGGCGACGAGGTCTTCATCAAGCTCGATGGAGGAAAAGCGCATGGCGGCAACAGCAACAAATACAGCACGTTCTCTGGCTTCATCATCTACTCCGATTGAGCTCCCCGCGTCCCGATCACCCCCGGGGCTCCCTGTCCTGCCTGCCGGGCAGAAGATGACCCACCCCCGCCCACCTCCTCGCTCGCTGCCTGGCCCGGCTGCCGGCCCTCCCCAGCTGAGATGTCCGGGCCGGTCCTCACTACCGCCTGGGCCGCAGAGCCCGGCCCCACGCGCTCCGTCCTGGTCCCGGTCCCGAGGAGGCGGGCGGCGTTGACCGCTCCGCCCCGGCCCGCGCTGTATATTTGTACAATAGGACTGGTTATTGCCCACCCTTCCCGCCAGCCCGCCCACGCCTGCGGACCGCCCGAGCAAGGCTCCCCGGGCTCAGATGCGCTGCCCTCCGGCTCTGGCTCTGCGGCGGCGCTGCCCGGGGAAGGGGTGGGATGGGGGCCGGATAGCTCCCCAGGACCCCCTAAAGCCGGTCCCCAGTGGCGCCCTGTCTGACCAAAGCTATAATAAAAACACTTCCACCCCGCTGGATTTCGGCCTGTGCCCTGGGAAGGAGTTGCCGGAGGGGAACACGACCCGACCCGGTCCTTCTCACAGTGGGAAGGGGTCTGCTGGAAGCCACCCGCGGATCTGGGGGAAGCCAGGTGTCGGAGTCGGAGCTGCTGCAGGTGGCTGTGGGCCGGGTCCCAGCGCCCTCCACAGCCTACATGAGGCCGGGCGGCTGGGTGGGAAGCCACCCGGTTACATCCTCCTCCTCCATGGTCCATAAGGTCCCTTTTTTCATCCCTGAAAGTGGCATTGGCACTCCAAAGCCACAGCAAAGTTTAAACCGAGAGACCCAGGTTCTCATCCAGTGCTGCCACGTGTGATCCCCGCAAGCCGCTGCTGTGGACTCAGTTCTCCGGTAGTGACAGCCTTCCACTACAAGCTGGTTGACCTTGGCCCAAGCACTTCACCTCTGGGCTTCAGTTTCCTCATCTATAAAATGCAGGTGACCTATGTCACTTTGAGGATTAAAGAGATACAATGTATGTGCTCAATAAATGCTCAATAATATGTGTACATCATTTTAAAGTTTGCAAAAATGCTTTCAGGTATGTAGCCTCAAGTCCCCCAAGAGCCCTGGGAGGCTGGAGGAGTAGATTTAATTCTCCCGGTGCAGTTAGATAACCTACTTAGAATGACAGTCTCTGAGTCCCGTGATTGGGCTTGAATCCAAGAGGCCCTGATCCTGGGAGACATCACTCTTAAGTCTCTTCACCCTGCCCCTGCCTCCCTGATTTCCTGTAACTGGGGCCATGACAGTCACACAGATAGGGCGTTTCTAAATAATTATTGCTAATATTTAGAGAGCACCCACTCGGTGTCAGATACCATACAGGAATTGTACAAGTATCTCATGGATGTGTGTGTGTGTGTGTGTGTGTGTGTGTGTGTGGTGCAGGAGGGATTGTTAGGAAATGCTCTCGTGCCCTTTGATGGATACTCTTATTTTATCTGAAATGATGAGGAAACGAAGGCTCAGAGAGGTTAAATAATTTGCCAAGGTCACAGAGCTAGGAAGAGGCAAATGCCAGTATGTGAACCAAGACCAAGCTCTCGCCTGGTACACCGTATTTCATAAAGATCTGGGACCCCCAAGCAAAACTGAGGAAGGGTGGCATCGGCAGCTCAGCCTCCCTGCCTGTCACGCTCAGCCCTTCACTCCCAACCCTGCCCCGCAAAGCTTGGTGGATTTGCAAGCATTTGCCCGGCGCGGCAGCCGTGGGCTGAGCCTTTTGGAGAATCCCAAGGCTCTGCACAGAGGGAACGGTCCCATCTGGCAGCCCCCACCCCCATCCCGCTGGCTCAGCTGGGGAGACAGGAAAGAGGGGTGGCCTCCCTTCCAGCCAGGCCCCATGTATGGACCCTTGTCATGGCTGGTAGACTTGAATGACTTTCTTTATCCTCCCTTCTCTCCCCTGCTTCCCCCTCCTGCCAGCTGTGGCCATTTAATAAAATTAGCTTAATACTTGTTCCTTCCCTGTGGGGTCTGGAGATTGAAATCTGCAGGTCCCCACAAACCCAATAAAACCCCTGGCAGATCGGGCTGGAACGAGAGTTTTCTTGGGAAGAGTGATTAGATTAGACCATGCTCCCCCTGCCCCCAGCCCCTTAGTGCTGCCCACAGCCCCCTGTGACTCCTTAATGGCCATATTAGCCCAGAATTACCCCGCCACCACCCCTGGGGGCACCCCAGTCCTCCCTAGACACCACAGGCACTAGTCTAGGGCTTCTGCTACAATAAAAAGCGTGTTAATCGTTTTTGTACGGAGTGCCCGTCTGTCTGGCTGGCTTTCTTTTCTTTCTGGCGACTGGACGATCCTTCTGTCATTTTGAGAGATGAGCCTGAAGTCTCCATTTTGCAGATGAGGAAATCATAGTCTGAAGAAAAATGTGTGACTTGCCCGTGGTCATGCAGCAAGTTTGTGGCACAACTGGGACTGGGCTGAAGCCAAGGACTGTCTCTTTCTTTGCAGGGCGCCCAGAGTGTCTAACAGCGCCTGTTGTCAGCTGCTTGTCACTTGGGCAGCGTCCCAGCTGCAGGGGAACCTGTTGGGGAAATGTCTTCTCCATCAGACAGGGGCTTCCCAAGGGCAAAGTCTGGGTTTTTTCTGCCTCAGACTTGGAATACCCAAGGTCAAGAACTGTGTTTCCACCATCAGAATGGGAAGCTTTTTGAAGGCAAGATTTATGTCTCCTCCGTCAGACTGGCGATCCTCAAAGACAGTGTTTTGAGTGAGTTGAGGGCAAGGTGAGTATCTCCACTGAGAGTGGGGGTTGGGAGGGTTTCCTGGATTCATAGATTGTGGCTTTTCTCTTGGTGGCTCTGAGGGTAGATGTTGTACTTTTTCTATTAAACAAGGGCTTTCTGAGACCAGACCCTGAACTGGGGGTTCCCCAAAGGACAGACTGTGTCTCCCAATCCAACCGGGGGCTCTCTGAGCACAGGAGCTGCCTTCCTCTCAGACTGGAAGTTCCCTGAAAGGAGGGAATGTGTGCCCCCTCCTCCTCAGGGGCTTTCTGGCACAGGAACATTCCAGAGCACAGGGCTGGCTGGGTAGCAGAGAGGAGACTAGGCAGGCAGTACGGTGATCCTCTTCTGGAGGGAGGAAGGAAGAAGCCTCCCCAGGCTGCCTCCTTTTTAGGAAGATGTGTGATTAATTAATGAATAATGTCTCTGCCAGGCAGGGTATGAGGGTGGAGGATCCCCGGGGGCTCACCCACACAAGGAATGACAGGCCATCCTGCGTCCAGGCAGTTGCCAGCCCTAGGCGCTGATGCTGCCCTGGCTTCAGGGGTCACGGGGACCAGAGCGGTATAAGAGCCCACCGCTGGGGACTGCCCTAATTGGATGACTTTGCAGGAAAGCCAGGCAGGTGTGCTGGGCTCTCACCACTTCAGCTTGCTACAAACACGTCTACCACGGTGAGGTCTAGGGGTTAATTGCCTCCTGCCTCACTCCTGGTAACCAATATTTCATTTACTGCTCAGAGGGGGAGCTGCCCAGAGAATCAATCCCGGACAAGCGTGCAGGAGACAGGGGCGCCACAGAGGCACGGGGGCTGTTTCTAGGACCATCTCTGAGCACCAGAGGGAGAGGCAGGAGGCGAGCGCCCAGAGAAGGCGGCTAATGGCTCCCGGCTACTCTGGGCCTCGCTCGTGCTCCGCTGACCCTGATCCCGCAGGTCCGGGATCGCCGAGGGCTGGGGGGAAATCGCGGGGCTCCAGAGGCTGCACCGCCCCAGCTAGCGGGGCTGGTTCCCCTGCCCTGGCCCTTCTGCATTTATTTACCCGGTGCCCCCATAGGCTGCAGCAGGTTAGATGCTGTTAATAAGGTTATTTTCACAAGCAATGAAGGTATATTTGAAAATCCGGACTGAAAGTGTGAGCTCCTCATCCCCTTCCAGGTAACAAACCTTAAAACACTACAAATGAGGTGAAAAATAGAGTGAAGTGAAAAGTCTACACGTGTGTGGAATGGGGAGAGGGGCGGGATTCCAGGGAGGTGGTAGCTGGGGGCTGGACGGGAAAGGGCCAGGCGGCTGCCTGCGCCCCAGACTCTCCACATGCTGCCCACCCCCTGGCCCCAGTCACCAGAACTGAGAGCCACGGCCACGAAGTGGGACTCCTGTTGCACAGCTGGAAAAACGGACCCCCGGGGAGGTTTCAGGGCAGCTAGAACCGGAGACAGCAGGACCCACCAGTAGAGAGACAGGCCACAAGGAGAGGCAGAAGCACTGGACTCAGGTCCTGGCCATGCTCTGTGTTCCAGAAAAAGACACCTCTCTGAGCCCCAGTTTCTCCATCTATACCATGGAGCTAGATAATAAAAGTATATATTAGCTGAAGGTTATTGTGAGGCAGTGGGTCAGGGCCTGCTTGTAAATTATAAAGCAAAATGCACATGCAGTTTTATTGTTACAACCCAAGTCTCCTGAGCGCCATGGTTGAAAATCCTTTTGCCTGCATTTTAGTGCCTGGGATGGTGATAATGGTCATCGCAGAAGGTGAAGACACCTGATTGTTTTCCCATCCTGGTAACCCCAAAGTGAATGTGGGGCACTAGGGGAGGAGTTGGTTTGGGGTATCCAGGATGTGGAGCTACGTATTAAGAAAGGAGTACCCTGCGTGCCGTCTCCAGTGAGGACTCCCCCGACCATTCTGCTTTGTGGCCCCCAATTTGGGGCAAGAACACAGAGACAGCCCTAAGGCCCTGGCCCACCCGCATGTTCCTGCTTGATCTGTTTCACTTTGATGTTATTGAACACCCTCCAACTCACCAGCCTCTAGCTTGGAACGGAGGCTCGAGAGATGGATAAGAAACCGCCCAGAGAGCCAAGATTCCCACAGGGATCATACAGATACGCCCAGGGCACGGTACTATTAGAGGGGCAGGGAAGGCTCCCAGGAGGGGTTATTTCTGAGGGAGCTGGGCTAAGTGGAGGCTTACATGTTCCACTTCTGCAATGTTTGGAAAAGTTTTACAACCAGCACGTATCCCTTCAAAA